CTCCACAAGAAGTCAGAAACTAAAACTCCAGTTCATGCCACACAGGTAATGGGTTTTGATTTGGGAAATATAAGACAGTTGGGAGTGAGGGTTAAGGAGAAAGGGGACGGTTGGGGATGGCAGCCCCCTCTATGCCCAGGGCAGGGCAGGTACTTAGACTCCCAGCTCACTCACCAACTTACTCACTTTCTTCTGGCAGCACTGTAGTCACCTTGGGTTCCTACCCCACCATCATTGAGAAGCAGGTGAGTCCCTTTCTTCAGCCTTGTGTCTTAAAATATCCATCAATGCACAGTGTAAATACTCCCAAGTCACTGACACAGTGACACGGGGAAAGCCCGAGTCCTACTCTGTCCCTACTCTCATCTCACCCTGGAGCCCCCGACTCCTGCTGGGGTAGGGTGTGGCCTCTGAGGCTCTGGCTTGTCTGTTTCATCCTTTTGCATATATATAACAGATATTAATTGAGTGCCTACTATGTGCCTAGCCTTGCCCCAGGTACACAGATGAGTCAGGTATCAACACAAAGGTCCCCACCCCTCAAAGGCTAGCAGCCATAAGACCATATAAACCTCAGCAAAGCAAACTGTTCAGCATGGAGTCAGGTGATAGTACCATGAAAAAGTGAAGTCAGTGTGAGGATCAGCAACATTAGAAAGGAGTCTGGGGCTAGAGAGATGGCTCAGTGGTTAAGAGCATTGCAATTTCCAGCACCCACATGGCAGCTCACAAGTGTTTGTAACTCTAGTTCCAGGGGATCCAACTCCCTCACACAGACATACATGCAGACAAAACACCAATGTACATAAAATAAAAAAAATCATCTATTTTAAAAAGGGAGTTGGGGGATGTATTTGAGTCTTTAAACAAAGACTCAAAGCAGAAGTGGGGAGACTAGAGACATCAGGGAAGAGGTGAGTCAAAGACCCAAGACTAAATGTGTCCCCATGGGTTCAAGGAAGAGCCAGGGCTCTGGAGCAAAGTGCAAGACCCAAGAGGGGCAAGGCAGGTCCTACTGGGGAGACTTTTCCTCAGACTGAGATGGAAGCCTCGTTGAGAGAGTGTAAGCAGAGGAGAAGTAGCACCAAGAGAAGGCAATGGGGCCACAGCAGGGTGTAGCCAGCAGAGGGTAGACGAGGTTCCCAGGAGGTGGTAGTGGTGGCCCAGCACACAAGAGTCAGGGACTGGCATCTTTGAAGGTGGTCCTAACCAACAGGATTCCCAGCTGGGTCAGAGAAGGGGAAGGAACTGGGGAGTCATCTAGAATGAGGTGAGCTTTTTAAGGGCCAGTCGTGTTCTACATGTTAAACACAGGGGTGCAGGGAGCTGTGCAACATGGCTGAACCTACTAGCCTTCAACCCTGAGCTCAATCCATTGCTAATGTAACTGTACCTCTTCCCCAAGGGTTGATCCTGCCCCTGCTTGGGAAGAAGGGTGCCACAGTAGGCTCTCTCCCCACAGGTCCTCTCTGTAGGCCTGTATGTCACAGACTCCAGCCTTAAAAGAGAAGAGTCACAGGGAGGTGGGGCTGAGTGAAGATATGGACCAAGAAACACTGTAGGGAGAGTTCACTAGGACTGGAACCCAGGCCTACCCTGCAGAATATTATGGTCCTTGTCACATGGTTTCCACTTGCTTAGAATCTGCATCAAAGGCACTAGGACCCTTTTTCTCCAATCTGGAATCTCGTCTGTGACATTTCACAGGACACCCATGAGACCAGGGTGACAATTTATACATTGTATAAGCCACCCACACCAAGGACATGTAATACATGTGTGTAGTAATACTAGCAGCCTCCTACCTGACAAAAAGCCGGAGTCGGGACAGTCCCGATCAAGCCCCCTTGCGCACTCCTACGGATGGGAGGCTTGCTCTTTCAACGTGTCCCTCTGTCAGCAGCTCTCAATACTAGAAGGTGGTCTCTCACACTGACCTAAAGCTGGTCCCTGAGACGCTGTGCCCTGTGTTCCATAGACCCATCTGTTTCCTCCCCAGCAGAGATGGTACATGGCTGGTGTGGGAGGTGTCTCCTTCTTGGGCCCCTCAGTGTTGCCTGACCCTTCACTAATCTGACCCAAAGCCTCCAAGGTCCTTCAAAAGTGGCATGTGGATAGATGCGGTATAATCCTGTAATCCCAGCACTAGGGAAGCTAAGGCAGGGGGATAGTGTGTTCAAAGCCAGCCTAGCCCACATAGGAAGACTTGGGGTATTTTTTAAGGTGGTATCTATAGGACTTCTCCAGAATCTATGTGGCATCTGTATAATAGTTTCCCCATCCTGGGCTGGGATGCACCAAGCCAGAGGAACTGAACTGTATGCTGTTTCCCTGTTGCAGGAAGAGCATCTGAAGGCCTTGCTCTTGATGGTCCTGAAGAGACAGTTCCTGCCTCACCATAACGGTTAGTCTCACTGAACCTCTCTGTCGGCCACACATCACATACATGGCTGGAGGCAGCACCAGACCTGTCCACAGGAGCTGCAAACAGCTGTCAGACTTGCAACTGGCCCCCAGGCAAAGCAGGAAGCAGTAGACACCCAAGCTTTCAGATGCAGTTGTGGAGGACGCTAATGCAGATGCAAGCTCAGAGCATGGACAGTTGGCCAGATGAGCAGCTGCAGGGATGGTGTAAAGTCACAGGCAGGGGCCCTCAGAGGGGAGGGGCCACTCAGTCTCAGCAACTACAGGGCCAGCAGTCAATGGTCCCAGGTGGAATGCTAGATGGGCTGAGGCCAATCGGAAGGATCGCTAAAGTGGGCAGCTCACACTGTAAACATGATCCGCAGGGTAGGCATCTGAACCTGCTAGACCGCTGAAAGCTAAATGTCACAACACATCACCTTCCCTCTAGCTATCAGGAACCCAGAATTTTCCAGAACTCCCTGTCTTACCCTGAGTTCCTCAGACGCTGAGACAAGGCACTGTAGACACTTGGGGAGGTGAGTTAGGAAGAGGAAGGGGCAATCCATAGCCCTGGGCTTCCTGGCTTGGCCGTTCCTTTGGCAGGGTGTGTGCCCATCCCCATGGTTACCTGGTCAGTGCCTGTGCCCCACTTCATGGTCAGCTTCCCACGGACACCAGTCCTCATGTTTCTCATTGTGTCCCTAGCATTCTGTCCAGTGACTCACAACATAGGATGTGCAGCCTGGCCCCACTGACTCTGGGAGATTATCCAGCTAGGACTTTTCATCTTTCAGATGGGCCCCTCCACAGATCCAGAGTGGTTAGGTGACTTGTCCAAAGTGACCCAGCACATCTCTGGCCAAGCTGAGCCTAGAGTCCTGACTTCTTGCTTTCTCAATTGAGGGTCTTTGTGCTCTGAGTCACATTAGGAGAGCAATCGCTTTGAGAAGTTGTCAGAGGTTCAAACGCTGGCCAGGCTTCTGTCCTGAGGAACTATGGTGGCCAGGGAAGGTTCTGAGCATGAAGTGAGCAAATCTGTTCAAAAAGAGAGACAAGCTGGGCACAAAGCAGGTGGCAGTATAAGGTCCAGCAGGGCAGTCGGAGAGGACAGACAGGCAAGAATTCACCTGCGAGGGGCTGGAGAGATAGGGCCCTGTGCCCACCACAGGCTCTCATTCAACTCTTGTGTGTCACACCCTGGAACACCACAAGGGTAAAAAAAAGAAAAGAAAAAAAAGTGGGCCAGGCCCAGAAATTGGTATGGTCACACAAGGTCTAAACACCAGGCTAGGAACTTTCTCAAATGCCATGGGGTACTGTTCATACTGCAACCCCACCCCGAGGAGAAAAGGGCAGTGTGCAGCCATTACAGAAACCCAGGAGGGCTGTAAGAAACAACTTGAGAGAAGAAACCACAGTGAGGAGACTTGGGCAAGTCCCATGGAAGAGTCCTATAATGAGGGGTCTTCAGGCTGGGGACCCAGTGAGATCTGAGGGCAAATGGGAGAACACACGCATGGGCTCTTCCTCCTCCATCCACCCCACACCTGGCTTCCAAGTGACCATTCGGCCAGCAAGAGGATGCAAGATCTCTCCAAGCCCAGACTGGCTGGGAGAAATGGGGTGGGGAAAAGACTGCTCAACACAGGGTGGTGGGCACAGGAGGAGGCCATGCCAGGCCCTCAGTTTTTCACAACTCCATTTATGGAAAATCAGCTACCCAAATAGTTGCCAGAAGCACTGACAGCAAACTGACCAGCTCTGTACATTTACTGATTTGAGGCTTAGTTTGCAGCTATTTGGGGAGCAAACATATCTGATCGTGGCTGACAGAGCCCATGTCTAGTGTTTTCAGTTGATTCTGGTCCTGTCTCATCTATTTGTGAGAGGTTTCATTTCTGCCAACATGTCAGCTCATTTTAAGATGAGTGGTAGAGAGAATTAGATAAAATGCATTTCCTGAGCAGATTCGCAGGAAACCTTCAATCTTCATCAAATTGAATCTCCCTTGAACACCACACAGGACAGCTTCCTAACAATGTGTTCACAGGTCTGGGACATACTTAGTAAGTGTTCCTTTAAAAGACAGGTGTAAGTAAAGGTGTGGGAAGGTGATCTGACCCGTGGCTCACAGGACATGTGTGTCCCAACACGTTTGTAGACGACAATGTCACAAGGAAATGTTGAAAGTGGTACTCCTCTAGTAACGTCTCCTTTCACTAGGCTGTTTGCTGTCAGGACTGCCTGGACAAGGGGGATTAAGGTACAGAAGGTCCCCTAGCTAGGGGCTGTGGAGGTTAGCCACCCAGAGTCTCCTAAGCACACCTGCCAGACAGCCCTGCCCCCCAGGCCCTGAGCTCCTTCCTGCCTTCCTCTTGTAGAGTGGCTCAGAGAGCATGGCCTCCCACTGCCCAACATCAAGGGCATCTCCTTCAGCCAGGCCCAAGTGGACTTCTCTGAGGTAGGTGCAGAGGGAGGGGTCTCCTTATGATGCTCAGCTAATGAGTTGGAATCAGAAGCTGAGGCCGCTCCAGGCCCTCTGCCTCTCATGTTACCTCTACCTCACAACCATGCTGGATGCGACACCTGCTATAAAGTAACTGAGACCTTGGGGGCCAGCGTGAGCCACTCAGGAAGCCAGAACTCAGGGCTCATCAAGAGCACCTCCCCTTACACAGACTATTCTCCCCACTTTGACTGAGAGGAAACTCAAGGCTCAGAAAGGCAGAAAAGCATGGCCAGGGTGTCAAAGCAGGAGTCTTTATCTGACCTCCAAGTCTATATCTTAGACAGGACCACCCACCTCCCTAGAACTGAGGTGTCATGGTTCCCAGACAGTACTGTTGTGCCCAGTGCCCACTCCCTGCAAACACCAGGGGCAGGAAGCAGGGAAAGCTTAGCCTCTGAGGTGCTGCCTGGGGATCTGCTCCCAGGCCTGTCCTACTTCCTGCCCTGGCTCCCAAAGGGGGAAAGTTCATTATGTGAAGTTCTAGGGATGTGGGCTCAGTGGTGAAGAGTGTTGCTGCCCTTCCCAGCACCCATAGCCAGAGAAGGCTCACAACGGTACTCTAGCCCTAGGGGACCTGATGCCCACTTCTGGTTTCCACTGGTACCTGCACACACATGGCATACACTCACAGACATACAAACATACACAAATATGAAAACAAAATAAAAATATCTTTTTGAAAGATGAAAGAAATATTTAAAGGAGGTTTCAGAAGAACAAGTTGGAAGGCAGACAGAAATACAATCTCACAGTTAACAGAACACATCTCTCAGAATGAAATGCCTTCTGAAAACTGAACATGACCATAATAAACTCCAGATTTGGGCAGGGGGAAGACAGAGACACTGAGACAGAGACAGGGATCTTGGGAAATGGGGAAGGAGGTTGGTAAGAAGGGCAGGGCTCAGACACACTCTTCATTTCTTCCCTCCCCTTGAGATGATTACCAAGGTTGTGGCACATACTTGTAATCCCGGCACTCAGGAGATGGAGCCAGGATGATCTGAGTTCCAGGTCAGACAGGACTACATAATGGGACCCTGTGTCAAAAAGAAAGGAAGGACAGAAGAGAAGAAGAAACAAAAAGACGAATGACCTTGAGCTTTTAGGATCCCAAGCTTAGACCCTGAGCCTCCCATTTCCATTCCTGACTGCAGAAGTCTGCCTTCAAGAACCTGAGGTGGGAGCTGCAGCGGGCAATGCCTCAACAGCCACTCAGTATCTTCCACTCCCCATCCCCCACCACTGCTGCTTCTGCCTAGGGGCCTTAGAGAATCCAGAGAAACCCTTACTTGAGTAGGTCTGGAGGAACACATCCAGGTCATCCAAGGTTTGTGACTGTCCTAAAAATAATGCCACCAGCCCTGGAGCAACAGGTCAGGTGAATGACCAGGGTCAGGTCACAGCCAGCACCTTCTAGCCACCCTGTCTGTCTCATGACTAGACCTGTGAAAAGCAAGGCACACTTGCCGATCTGCTTCTCGGCTGCCTTGTGCCATTGTTCAGGTGCAGGTTACAGAGCACACCATGCAGACCGTGGTTTAAAGGAAAAAGTCACCTGGAGCTGAGCAGTGTACAACACACACCCTTCCAGGGCTGCCCTGCTTGTTCTTCCAGCCCCCATCGTCCTTCTTTCACTAGTCCATATACCTCAGAAAACACTCCAAAGTCTAGTGTGCCTGTCCTCATAAACGCTCCCAAGACCTTGTCTTCCTCTCTGCTCTGCACCCTCATCCACTCAGTCCCTGGCTCTCCTTTCTTAGTCACAGGTGTGGGCCCCTCTGGTGTGTCAGGAGCAACCCTGGGAAAGCACTCTCTGCTCTGTCCACAGAATTACATACTACTGACCATTCCTGAGTAGCTGCTCTGCAGAGGACCAGTCCTTGCCCCCAGCTGCATGTGCTCAAGACCCCAAAGTCCATGGTCTGCCTCAGTCCCAGTGGAGTTCTCAACTGTAATAAAGATGTTTCCTCTGTGAGTCTGGGTTTCCTGACAGTAGGGACGCACCTTGAAGGGTTTAGATGAAGGGCTCCTTCCCTGCTCTAGTTCTCCTATGAGCCTTGGAAAGTGCTCTGTGTTCTGTCCCAGGTGGAAGGAAAGACTGGGAATGGTGGTTCACACCTGTCAGCCCAGAATGTGGGAGGCTGAGGCAGAGGAACTGTCATGTGTTTGGGCCAGCCTAAGTTACAAAGTGACTTCCATGTCAGCCCAGGCTGGAGGGAAACCTAGCCAGAAAAGGGCAGGGGTAAGGAGAAAGAGAAAGAGAAAAATAAAAAAGAGAAAAGCCTTTTAACTCTTCATCCCTGCAAGAGCTCTTGTTTTTAAAAGAAAAAAAAGGAATATGCTGTGGGATAATGCTTTTGTACACTATAAAGATCTGTCACTTCATATTGGTTTAATAAAACACTGATTAGCCAGTAGCCAGGCAGGAAGTATAGGCGGGACTACCAGGCTAGGAGAATTCTGGGAAGAGAAAAGGTGGAAATTTAATCACCACCCAGACACAGAGCAAGCAAGATGAGAATGCCTTATTAAGAAAAGGTACCAAGCCACATGACTAAACATTGATAACAATTGTGGGTTAATTTAAGTTATAATAGCTAGTTAATAATAAGCCTGAGCTAATAGGCCAAATGGTTTATAATTAATATAAGCCTCTGCGTGTTTCTTTGGGACTGAACAGCTACAGGACCAGGTGGGACAGAAACTTCTGTCTGCAGCACTCTCCATCAAGGGTTCATCCAAATGGGCTCTTGATCCTTTAAAGCAAGAGGAAAGTGGGGTTCTTGAGTATAACAGAGGCTTTCCTAGCCTCGAGCAGGCTCAATTCAGGAGTTTGAGTGCTAGTAGCTAGGAGTCAGGCAAAATTCCTTCCACTGTGTCTGTGGTTCCAGACTGTCTCACAAATTCACAGAGCAACCATGGGTAGGGTGAGTTTCTATAAATAAGTTCATTATAGGCTCACAGGTGAGAGTTTAAGAGAGAAGAAGCAAGACAAGCTCCAGGGTAGCAAGAGAAGGGCCTGGGGATGGGTGCCATTAAGGTGGCATTAAGCTGCTAGTTTGAGGACTTTTTATATGACTTATGGCAGAAAATGGGTTGTGGGAGTTGGTTGGCCAGTTATCCCACCATTAGGCATCCATGTGCCTCTCCATCCCTAGGTATCTGAACTGCTGTTTTGGTCACACCCTCACCTACAGTTTCCAGGCAGCTGTGTAAACAGAGAAGAAAAATAACAAGAAGTCAGGGCAGGATTTAGAGCCCTAAAATATTTCTGGCATTTTTACCTTCCAGTCAGGACAGAGCTGAGGACAAGAATCAAGATCTCCAACTTCAAAACTACCTGAGCCATTTCTGTCTTCTGTTCCCATCATCCCCTCAGAGGCAGTGACCCTAACTGTCATGAGGAAAAGGGGTGGGGGTGGTGACTGGTCTTCTGGCTGGGCGGGGCTATTGGGGGTGGCAGTCAGGGTACCTCTCTGGTGATCCTGCCTAAGGGACTTGAAAGTGCTTCCATGGTTTCATTTGTGGAGCAGCCAGGTGATATGAGGAAAGAAAGCCTTTGGTGTCTGGACAGCGTGTGAAGGAGAAGACACAAGGAAAACAAAGACTTGGCAAACTGGAACAGGAGCCCTCTGAACATTAGAAATTATTCCACTCCACTGTACACAGTTAGGATCTCAATAAAAGCTTAGCATTCTAGGGCCCCAGAGAACCAGGAAAAGGCAGAACAAAGGAGATTTTTATTTCAGATTCAGTCTCTGAATCAGGAGCTGGAGCTGTATCTCTGTGGTTGAGAGTACTTGATGCTCCCCATGAGGATCCGAGCTTGGACTCCAGCACCCATTCCAGCTGGTTCACAAACACCTGTAACTTCAGCTCCAAGGGACCAAACACCGTATTCTGGACTCAGTGGGTACACACACACACACACACACACACACACACACACACACACACACAAAACAAATCTTTAAAAGAATAAAAATTAAATGTCTGAATGAAAGCCCACAGGCTCACCAGAGCATCCAGCTATGTCTGGCTTACTGGGCTTCTGGCTAGGTCTTTCCTTCTCTGGCCTTCAAGGGTTGACTCAAGAGCCATGAACCCAGGATTTGCCTTCAGGCACTGTGAGCGCTGTTAGAGTGGCCAGAATCACTGCATAAGTCCCCTCTCAAGTCAATTCTCAGGAAGGAGAAAGACAAGAGACTTAACCCTCCTTGACCTTCAGGTTGGAACAATAGTAAGCCTGGCTCTGGGCAGCAGGCACTATGTAGGCACAGAGTATTGAAAGTAAGTTAAATGCCTATCTGGGCATCAGTTTTTCTTTCTTTCTCTCTTTCTTTCTTTCTTTCTTTCTTTCTTTCTTCCTTCCTTCCTTCCTTTCTTCCTTCCTTCCTTCCTTTCTTTCTGTCATCTGTCTGCCTGTCCTTCCTTCCTTCTTTCTTTTTCTTTTCTTATTTGGTTTTTCAAAACAGAATTTCTCTGTCACCCTGGCTATCCTAGCATATCACTCTATAGACAAGGCTGGCCTTGAACTCAAGAGAGCTACCTGCCTCTGCTGGAATTGAAGGTATACCCAGAGCAGGCTGCAGTTTCTTACCAAACTTAAAACAACTCATGTGAACTTAAGCCTGCTTACTATCTAGGAAATGTGAGTTCTTGGACTGGCTAAAAAGCCTCTAATCACTTTAGTTGCAGCTGGACTTTTCAGTTATGTGTCTAAGATCATACAGATGGCCACACTGAACAAGTCATGTACACAAAAACAAAAACAAACCCGGACGTCACATGAAAGAAGAAAACTCCAAAAGGGCGGAGCTTCTGAGACTCCGCACAGGTCTGGAGCATTGGAACAACCACAGCTGCCTGGAAATGAAGACTCGGGGATGAAATGAAGACTTGGGAAGGGGAAGGAACCCAGAACTAACAAAGAAACACTTAAGACAGATTTCAAGCACAGACGTCAAAGTACTTCGCTCTTCCTCTTTGGAAAACAGATAATAAAGAGGAGATAATGGCCTAATTGAGTGGCTGGCTCAGTTAAAGTGGAAAAGGGGGTGATGAAGGCAGACAGGAAAGTGCTATATGTCCATAGTCCATGAGGAAGTAGCTTTCCCCAGAGTCCGGAGGATTGCAGGGCAGTCACCAACCCCAAAAGACAACAAATGTCTACATGCCAGGGCAGGGAGAAGTTTGATGACAAAATCTAGTTGTTATGTCGACAAATCTTATTTAAATCTTCCAAAAAAATTCCATTCATGGGACACTTACAATTTATTTGGGGCCAGAACATATGACTATGACATTCATGATGCCTGTATTTTGAATCCAAACACTTTAGGTGGAAAAAAAAAACTTTTACTATTTAAAAAAAAATCTAGTGGGGGCTAGAAAGACGGCTCTGCAGTTAAGAGTGCTTACTGCTCTTGCAGAGGACTCAGGTTTATTTCTTAGCATTTATATCAGGTGGGTCACTACTGTATGTGACTCCAGTTTCAGGAGATCTGATGCCTCTGGCCTCCAGGGGCACCTGCATTCATGTGTACAGACACACACACATACACATCACTAAAAATAATACAGGGGCTTGAGAGATGGCTCAGTCATTAAGAGCATTTGTTCTTACAGAAGACCCACATGGCGGCTCACACCATCCATAGGTGCACATACACACATGCAGACAAAACACTCATACACATAAATAAATCTAATAATCTAAAAGGTTTAAATTAATAATAATAATAATAAACCTTTTTAAAAATTGACTGGGAGCACCAATTTGGTTACTACCTCTCTAACGTTAACTCCACCTACCAGTGGAAGGAGACGCCTTTAAATCAACTCCGGTAGTCTAAGTTAGAGTGCCTGTCTCCCTTCTCTGCTATCTGTACTTCCTGGAATTTTTAATATGACACTTCCATTACTTCATTGTTAGCAGATACTGAGGACCAACCAGATCCTGATGGAGAATAGACTAATATGCCCCAGGAGTTTTTTCCTTAATGGCCTTTGTAACCACTTCTTCCTCCTGAAGCTCTGACTTCCTCCTGCTTATTCATCCTCATCTTCATCAAACCCTACAATGAGCCAATACTGGCCATGCTTGGCCAATAGGAAACTATAAACGTTACCAGGAAAAGCTATGCCTTTGCTGCTACAACTTCAACAAGGTACGCCCACGCTGTCAGAGCTCTAGTGATGAGTGTGGAAAGTAAGGCCAAAATCACCCAGGAAGCTGCTCACATGCTGATCTAAGGAAAGGGTCCAGAGGACCATACACACCTTCAACCTATTTGGACAGGGGACCACTGACCAGGGGGTGACTCATGCTGACTCTAGGGCAGGCTCAGAATCCAGGAAGCTGTATGCTTGTTGACCAAAAGACAAATCCAAGATCCTGAAAGTTACATACATGTGGCCACCAGGGCAGGCCCAGCACCCAGAAGACTGAAAACACACTATCCCCAGTGCAGGTTGCCTACATAGTCAGGGGTCAGCAATACATTGGCACTCAATGCAAGTACTCAAGAGGCAACCCATACGTTGATGTCAGGGCAAGCCAGTACACAGAAGGCTGCTTGTATATTGAAATCGGTGCATGTCTAATGTCTAAGACTGTGCCCATGCTGTCTATGGTGTAGACCCAATACACAGAGGGTGTCCTTACATGGACTAAAGGGCAAACCCAGTTCTAAGGAGGTAAATATACACAAATAAAAGCCTGGGCCCTGTAGCGAGCTGCGTGGTGTCACACCTGATGGAGATGTATAATCAACTCCTGAGATGGCTAAGGCCTGACCTATGCTACCTGAGACCTGAGCCCGAGTGCGACTGGAAAATGGCAGTAGATTGTAGTAAATACCTTTAAGAATGCTACGCCCCCGCTCAGCAGGAAGTAGCCAGAGAGACTGACATCTCCCAAATTCCCTAAAACATGGTTTAAGCGGGGCCCTTTCAGAGCAGAAGCAGGATCAGCTGGGTTGCTAGGGAAGCCAAAGAGGTGCACGAGGGAGAAGGTGTCTTCCATGCACTCAGCTGACATGAATGAATGTGCCACGGGGGTATGGCAGCTGGGGTATGTTGTTTGGGGGACTGCTGAAGGAACAGTGATTTCTGACTGCTCCTGGGGTCATGGCAAAGCCACTCCTAGTGACAGGAGCAGGCAGAGGAAAGCCAGGGAGGGGAAAGCAAGATTGCTTCCCCTTCCTCTCCTCTGTGCTGGCCCCTCTGCTACCAGTTCTGACTGCCCTTGCTGCTGCCGCAAGCACAGCCGCAGCTCTGGCAATTGGCTCAGCTTGGCTGTGGGTGGAAGTATCTGGGGCTGTGTGTGATATGAAAAATTTAAAGAATTGTCTAGATATCTTTTAGGTAATTGGTCTGGTGAATTCGAACAACAACTGGAACAACTGCGAGTGACGATTGTGACTGCAGATTCCACACGCATGGATACCAGCCTGGCAGAAGGACTATCTTCCTGGATCACTCCATGGATCATCTGAAGGAGTGGGCGGGAGTAGGAGCCCTAACAGGGCTTAATGGTGCTTGCCTCCCTGGTATGCCTGTGGTGCATTTGTCACATAAG